CTCCTACCCCCCCCCCCCCCTGCGTACGGGCCTGTCAAATTGAGACTCGGGTAATACCGTAATTTATGTCAAATGAGATTTTTGTTTTTAAAAAGAAATAAAAAAAGCCCCAACTTAATGTTAACTGTACCATATGTGCAGAAGGTGTGACTATGTATACATACATACAGTACAGTAATATTACTGTACTGTATTATAATTATATCCCACGTGACCTGTATTCAAAAAGTCAAATTAACAGAAATTCAAAAGGTGTTCTAAAGTTAGGTCTATTCAATTAAGGATATTGTTATTTTTGTAGAAACAGTGATAGGACCTATTTTAATCAGAGAATCTAACTGTATTTGAAATAAAATACAGGCCTATAGACCTACGAATGAATCTACCGCTTAGCTGAAACTCGAATGGCAGATCAGATTGCATTTTAAGAATGTTTTTAACTTCAATGATGGTTATCATTTTGTTACATTTCTTCTCCTTTAAACTTACTACATTAGCTTGTCGGTAACGGGATATGGTAGCAAGAATCAAATAGAATCACTTAAAACCTATAGATCCACAGGAGAATCTCCAGAATGCAACACGACTTTAATGCTGCCGTTTGCTATTAACATGTAAAATCATACTTTAGCACAATCAAACAGTGTAAAATTAAATGAAAGCACATAGTCTCCCTCCAACACATATGAGAATCAACGCTATTGAGAAGAAGAGACTACATCAATCAAAGTTCAAAATCGAGCATTCAATTCCCCCTACAATTCAGCTTTGATTGCACGTATGTCAAATCCTTAAGTAGGCCCGGCACCTGTTATCTCCTACGGTACTTGGTATGATTCTTTGATAAAAAAAAAAAAAACTCGAGGGAATCTTATACCTAATGCTTTTATTAAACTTTAGGCCTAAACTTGTCAATCTGGGCAAAATAGCACATCTATTCATAACAAATCAAAAGAAAAAATAAAAAGAAAGAAAAAAAAAAGAAAGAAAAGAAATCTGACAATGGAAATAACTATACATACACATTTTAGAGAGCCAGCTGGCTGCAAATATTACAAAGAAGGAGCCTGTTTATCTATAGATCTCAGCTTATTCCATTTCATGCGGCATTATTGATGAATATAACTCTTCACATAAATGCTATTATCAACTTCCTTTATATTGGAAAATTTTAATTACGCCTAATATACCGTATTCATCTAAAGAAGTGCGGAATTGGAATAATTGTGAAATAAAGGTGGGATAACCCACAAGCAAGAAAGAAAAAAAACTGAATTTACGTTCACTTAATAATCTGAAGTTCCGAGACTAGACTAACCAGGAGGTTTGAGAATCATGTTAGGTCATACACTGCACTGCTCCATATCCTGAAATATTCTGGCTAATGGGACTCACAGTACAAAATAATATATAAATGGCGCCATGATCAAACTATCAAAACAATTGCATTAAGTACGCTACTTTATGTTCATAAAACAATTGCGACGTTCAATATAAGAGTTACAAAACTTGTTTTCACTTGTATCTATTTCCTTAAACAAACAGAGGTTTTTATTTTATTTTTTATTTATTTTTTATTCTCGGCGTACTAGGTTTCAACAACTTGGTAATGCTGGTATTCCTTGCTATATCAAAATATAATTTATAAGTAAAGAATTAACTAAAAAAATATAATGACAAAGGTGTTAAGAAATTTAGGAATAACAATAAAATGATTAATCTAATGCTATAAACGTTACATCCGTTCTAATGGGATGCAACTCTGCAAAATAATATACTAAAGGTATCGCTGTTGTTTCAATGATACTATTCTATGAGCATTACCTTCCTGGAGTAGGCTTTAAAATGACACGGTCTGTCCTTGAGACCATAACCACAAGTCTCAGATTTCCTTTATAATATCCGACAAAATACATTGATGACATTATAACAATAGCTAAAGTACTTGTTATGCTAACCGGTATTAGTATTAGGATCATCCTTATTTCCTAAAATAAATCTTGATTGGAACTAATCTCTTTAAAAAATCGAATTAATTGATCTAATGGTTATCATTAAGGTTACACCGATAAACCCATCACTTAGGATGTGTTCACCCCATATTGCCGAACTTTGTCTAATGATCCCAATGCATTTGAGAATTTGAAGTTAACAACTCAACAACACTTTCCTCAAATGTACTGTCCAATACAAGAGTGTAACTTATGCGCACTTCAATGCCGTTTGAACTCAATGATGAAATTTGGAACAAACAAAAAGCTATACACTTTGTCAGATGTATACTTAATTATTATTATTAACTTTTTTCGTTACAGCCTAGTTTCAGGATTATTTGAAACAAGATACTTAATATCATTAAAAACTATCCATATGTATATTACCGCCGTCCTGTGACGTGACACCAATGATCCAGCAACTGGTTAGCTGTGTACTGTACAAACCGGACAACCTTGTACCGCTATAGGCTATTAAAAACACTATTGTCAACAGTTAATGTACTCTGAATATTTTTTTTTTCTTTAATATTGATTCTAGGAAAAAAAAATCACCGTATGGAACATTCTCTAGCACTTTAGCTTCTAGTGATCGGGTAGGCATATAGAATAAATCACACACACACCCACACACACACAAACATCGCTCGGAATCGTAGAGCTAACAAACAATTGACAC